TCTGCATCTTCCTCTTCTGTGCCACAAGCACCAGGACTGGCACTGGGAGCCCTCCGTGCCCGGGTGCAGCTGGTTCTCAGGAGCACAGCTGAGGGCAGGAGCTCAGGCAGTGATCCCCACCCTGGGAGCAGATGTCTTCAGCTCCAGCTGGGAACAAACAGCTGGAACACACAGAGGTTTAGAAATCAAATTCTGCCGCTGTACAAATATTTTTGGTAATGAAAATAAACAGAGACATGGGAGTAACAGGCTGCCTCCTGCTACTATGCTTCCAGGAGGAGATGAGCTGCCAGAGAGCAGAGGGCCTGAGCAAGAGCAAGCGGGTGACAGGGGGGTGATGGCTCACAGGAGGCCGTTCATTCCCAGAGGCCACACAACAGGTCCAGCCCTGCAGGATGGCCAGCAGGCATTGCTGAGGCAGGAAACGCTGCCCAGCAGTGGCCCCTTGGGGGAAGGAGAGCCCCAGCACCCCTCCAACACACAACCCCTTGTGCCAGCTCCTCAGCCAGTTCCCAGGGGGATCCTCAGCTCCATGGGATGCTCCGTGTTGGCACTTTCTGTGCCGGCTGGGGAAGGATCTCTCACCTCTGTACCTCAGTGAGGAGCTGTCCTGCAGTGTCTGTTCCTTCCCACTCACCCCCAGCCAGGGGAGAATGAACACCCCTTGAGGGAGCCACCAGGCACACTGGGCACACCGATTTACCTTCCAGCTCCTCTGCCAGCAGGCTCCCAAAGCAAAACCTCCACTGCTGGGGAATCAGATCCTGCTCCAAAAGCCTGGACAGATCCCTCAGGATTTGAACTTGTGGTTCTTCGACTGTCAGAGCGGAAAAGCTCTCATTCCAGTAAAGCAGCATCCCCAGCCAACACGGGAAGCCTTTCCAAAACCCCAAGCACTGGTGTATTTAGATTTGCCTGTAGCAACAGCGAGGATGATGTTTTTGTGCAGAGGGAAGGCAGGAAGGCTGCAGGGGCGGTGTGAGGAGCCTGTAACTGCTCCTGTACCATGAAATAAATGAGGGCATGGCTGGAACAGAATGTGAACGCTGCAGCACATAAACAGAGATGTTCTTGCAGCACAGACACTCAGAAAACACGTGTATCTCCAGGCCCTCTGCTCATTTTTACCTCCCGCTACAAGGCCAATATTTTTTAACGATAGATGTTTAAGAGAGAAGAAAGCAACAGCAGCTCGGCAGAGAGCTGTTAGGAGCTCTTTGCTTTTGTGCAGCCAACACAGCAAGCTGCTTCCCACCCCTGGATCCAGAAATCATCCTCTGGTTACTCTGCACTGAGCCACACAGAAAAGAATCATCCCCTTTCCTGCAGACCCCTGGGAATCATGCAAGGGATGAGAGACACAGTGGTACTCAGGTGCCTGTGGCTTCCCTCCTGCCTTTGCCTCAGCAAAGTAAATTAGCTTTCCCCTTTGTTTGAGGAAAATTAAGGGAATTACAGAAAAGAAGTAACAATACATTAAAAATACTGGCTAGCAAGTGCTATGTCCCAGTCTAGCTGCAGAGTTAAAAAGGAAATCAATTCTGGGCATTAACATCAGCATTTTCTGGATGCTGCAGTGATTATACTGCTGAATGTACTGCTCCCACCATCTCTGCCAAACACCCCCACACAGACACATGACTCCAGCTACCCTCGCCATCCCTGTCAGGAGGACACCTCATGACCATCTACTCCAGTAACACCAAATTCTCTGCCCTGTCAGGTGCACTTGGCCCGAGGAGCCCTGCAGGAGGTCTGGCAGTGCACAGGGCACGTCCCCAGCGTCCCCTGGCAGAGCCTCCCCTGCTCCCAGCTAAAGCTGAGCATCTCCTGCTGCAGGTTCTGCTGGAGCTGCCCTCACCTCACCTCCAGCGCTGCTGTGGGACCACAGGCTCTGCCCTGTGAGTCCATCGTGGCACAGGAGCACCAGGCCAGCAATGAACCCCCGTGTTATCAGGATTAAAAGGCAATGGTTCTGTGTTAATTGCTTTTATGTTGACTCACCCACACTGAGCACTGAGCCATTTGATGCAGTGCTGCTTGGGCTGGGAATGGAGAACAGGCTGGGCAATCCACCCCTGCCCACGGGGGCAGCTCACGGTCGTGTCACAGGACAGCACTCAGGAGTTGGCTGCTGGGGCTTTAATTCCTGCAAGAGATGAAACCAAACACTGGGGTCACAGGCACCCTTCTACAGGACAGGGCTTGGCAGGTGCAGGTGGAAATCCCAGAAGGCTCCTGTGCTGTCCGGCTGTGCCACACATGGTACCCACACTGTCCCCTGCCCACGGCTGGGCACTGCAGGACAGGGCTCAGGGACACTGACCTGCACCTGGGGGAGGCACCTACCAGGGAAGGAAACCACGAGAATGTTTTATCACAAATACAAGATGCAGCTGCTTCAGGCCAAGCTTTTCATCTCCTGCTTGTTCTTTTTCCCCTTTTTGGGAGCACCTGACTTAACTGGGATGCTCTAAAGCCTCATTTCTGTGCTCTGCTACGTCTTCCTAAGTTAATTCTTTCTCCTGTTGTACGATTCTCACTTCACTTTTCTTGGCAGGACTGCTATCACAATTTGAACGTAGATTTAATAAAACCTTAGAGAGACTCCTCAATAACCTCCCTTCCTGTGCAGCGACCCAGAGAGACAGAAAAGGGATTGTACCCGGGCAGATGGGCACCAACACAATGCCCTGTAGGAGAGGAATTGCAAACACTCCTGTGACAAAGTGCTTTACAGGTCACTTCAGCAACGAATGCACAGACCGGTGCACAGACCACCCCCTTCTGCTTGTGTCTCTTCTCAAGCAAAGTCAAGCACTGGTACAGAGGGTCAGGGCCTCCCTCCTGTCTCACTGTTGCTTTTTGGGGGCCAACAACATTCCCCACTGAAGGGACTGCAAGTTCAAACACAAATTCCTATTTGAAACTATTAACTCCTTAAGAAACCCCAAATTAAATGGCTGCAACAGCGCTAAGCACAGGAAGCACGGCCCAAAATGGACAGGGGAGAGGAGACAGTGTCAAGCAGGAGATGGTTCTATTCACACACTCACCCACGCTCTCATACATGCATAAAAAAGGGACACAAAAGGTACCAGAAGTAAATTGACATACTGTATTTATTGCACAAATTTCCCCTAAAATTGGGAATGGTTATTATAATACAAGTGCACATCTTGGGAAATATATACAAAAACAGAAGAGATAACAAGTATGTACATTTTACCCAGCATTTTACAAGTACCACCATCTAAATAATTTAGAGAAAGCAAAAAATTGTCATAAAACATCTCTAAGAACTAATAGGGAAAAACATATGCAAGGTGTAAAATCTGTTCTTTTAAACAGTTTTTGTTCTTAGCAGCCCAGTGTTTGCCAATTGCAACAAAACCAAATTTGCTAATTTGTGTTTCTAGTACACTTAGTTTTCAGCCAGAAAATTAAGACATGTTAATAATGGGGACTGGGAATAGTGGAAAAAAGAAATCAAACATTAGTTTTCTATTCACATAAAACAATCGCGATATATTTTAAAAAGTCGACGCTATAGCCTGTAAAAATCCCTTTTTGTGTTATTTAACAAACAGACATACGTACCACATTGTTCATGTACCCCAAAGAAATTAACTCACAGGAAAACTTCCCATGCCACGAGGGTTTTGGTTGTGTTTTGCCCACAACACTGCTGAGAGGGGCCGAGGGACCGGCACGGGGAGGACGTGGAGGAAGCTGCATCAGCCTGGGACTGACTGAACACATCATTAACAGCACTAACGAGCAGCAGTGGGCACAGGACAGCACACAAGGTGCCCTCCCACAACCACCTCCTTCTCCTCTCACATTAATATTATTTCAAGCCGTGCAAGGGCCTCTCTGGAGAGTCAAACCCGTTTCAAAGCAACCCCAACGATTTGCCAGCGATGGCTCGGAGGAGGACGTGGTTCTCCCGTCAGGGTCACTGCAAGCTCAGTCCTGGGGGGTGCCAGGGTTAGGGGGCAGCTGCCCAGCTCTCTGGGCACGGCTACAGACAAGCCCACCCAAGGAAGGAGTGCACCCTCAGCCCCCCTCACCGCCAGTCCCAGCAGTGCTGCCATGGGCAGGCCACCCCTGCCAGTCTGGGCACAACTCAGGACTCAACTACTGCCCACAGCACATCCCCAGCCAAGAGTTCAACAGCCACACGTGGAGCTCAACCCAGAGTTCATTACAAATGTGTTTACACAACTGGGCCCTGTTTCGTGCTCGTTCCAGAAACCAGATGTAACACAACTGTGTGGTGAGGAAAGGACATTGGAAAAACAGGGGAGAAACAAACCCTTGGATCACACATCGAGTTCCTCCCCTGCAGCGCTGGGTTCTGTGCACAGGGTTCCAGTGACACTGCTGGGTGAACACTGGGGTCACTCCTGGGGTCACTCCTGGGGTCACTCCTGGGGTCACTCCTGGCGTGGCCTCGGTCCTGCCTGAAAGGGGAGTGGCTTTGCCCTGTGGGTTTTCCCTGGAACAGCTTTAAGGGACAGATTTTAAACAGCGCTGAAAAACCACCCTGGGTGAATCCTGGCCCCAGAGAAGGAAGGGAGGAGAGTTCTGTGGCTGACAGTGGTGGGGCAGGGATCTCCCCTGTTGTTTTCAGGTTTATCAACTGGTTCAAATAGATTTGTATTTGAAGTAACCCTGCAAACAGCAATAGCAGGCGTGTTGTACTGTGGGGGATGATCACAGAATGATGCATTTATAGAATTTCTTACAGAGTTTAGCCACCAAGTGAATATGTGTCTCCTACTTGTGAGGACAATCCATGAAACTCAATATACTGAACGTAATCAATGAAAACAGAAGCTAAAAATCAGCAACATGAATTGGCTGCCAGGACAAATACGTAAAGCAAAGCCTAGAATGAAGTGTCCAGTTAAACTGAGGTAGTAGAGCCTTTGAAAACATAATCCACCTCCCACTGTCTATTTACATGACTTACACCAGGTTGGGTCCATCAGCTACTCGTACAACTATTGTATATACAGTGACAAACCAGTGATGGCTGAGTAAAAGAGAAATGCTGAGAATAAAATAAACAACATTTCCTGCTGGTAATTACACGAGTGAGTAGAAAAGGGATTAGAGTCATCTGCAGGGTATATTTGTCAAAAAATAATTTGGATATTACTATACTATGGTGTAATCAATGTTCATTTCTTTTGAAGAATGGTTTTAAAAAATGTATCAATTAGTTACCTGAGCAATTAAGGGTAATAGTCTACTCATTTTGTCCCCAGTGCTTTGGTACAATTATTTCTAGTTCATTATTTCAATAGCTGGCTGACTGACTGCTGTAAAAAGAATATGGTGTTGCAAGAACATTAAAGATCATAAAAAAGTTAGAGGTAATTGTCATGTCATTCTGGGGACCCCGTGGGGAAATTTCAGCCAACATTCTCTTTAGATTATTTTTGTTTTTAACATTTTGATTACGTTGTGGAAGAAAAGCATCACTTAGTATAAAGCAACATTTAAACATTATAAACATTTAACACTGGTTACAGCATCCAGCCAAGAAAGAATCTCCATCACTAGTTTGTCTGTTGGCCTCTTCCTTCATCCTCCCTGTCCCCCTCTGTCCCCTGCTTTTCCCTCTTCCCAAGAGAAAGATCATAAATAAATTCTGGAGCTGACTGTCATTAATAAGCCTTTTACAAAACAAAGCAGGCCCCGTTCTTCCTCTGGGAAGTATCCAGAACTGGACTATGACATGAAAAAGTAGAAGTTGTTTACAAATCATTGCAGCTTGAGAATTGCAGATCCCAAGGAGATCCTGCTCAGCTGAGGCCAGGCTGGAGGCAGCAGCTGCTCTCTCCTGTTCAGTTCCTAAGGGCTGATGGCATCATGTATTTCTCAGAGCAGTTCTTCCTCCGTTCCCCAGTGTAAGTCACAGTCAGCCATTGTGGCAGAAAATGCTAAAAAACTCAGATCTTCAGCTTTGCTAAAATCTTCACTTTCCCATGGCTGAAAGCTCGGGCTTACTCAGTTTTCTTTACTCCTTTCTTTATCCTTTTTGATAAACGGCCCAGTGGGAGAGGAGAGGTCTCCAACTGTTTGCACCCTGTGCAGTCATATATGGAGGTGCTGCAGCTCAGCGAGCAGTTTGTTTGAATTGCTACAAAGAGAAAGGAGCCAGAACAGGTTGTCTTCCACTTTGTTTCCAGAGAGGCAAAAAGTTTAAGTCTGTGGGCTCTGGCGTGTTAAAGTAGGATCTGGGCAACGTACGGGGAGTGAGTGCTCGCTACAGCTGCCAGCAAGGGGAGGTCGCTGGATTCAATCCTGGAAGGAAGCAGAAGAGTCACATTTAATCCAGCCCGGAACGTGGTGGGGCTGAACACGCGTCAGTGCCCACAGAGCCTGCTCAGCCCCTGCACTTGGGCCCTGGGTTACTCTCTGCAGCTGCCACACTGTTCCCAGCACCCTCCAGCTGTGCCTGCTCACCACTGCCAGCGCTGCCTCAGCTCCTACCTGTCTGGGGGGGGTTCACAGCACCAACAAACTGGTGAGGAAGCACACCCAGTTCCTTCCTAACCTCACAGCAAAGGGAGTCACAGCTGGGGGACACAGTGCAGGAGCAGAGGACCGGGCTGAAGCAGTGGCAGCTGCTCCCCCAGCTCCAGCACCACAAGTGCTCCATGTGCCTTCCTGCTCACCCTGAACTCCTCTGCCTTCCTGTGAACACCCCTTAAACAGGTCCTCTGCCTGTGCCCCACACCCACAGAGAGGTACTGTGTGCCTTACATGACACAGAGGGTGCTCCGTGCCACATTAGGGAAAGCCAGCCTGGGGGCATCAGGCTGTTCAGTGCTGACTGACCACCTAAGCAGGGAGTCTGATAAGCTCCAGAGTGCTGAGCCCATCTTCCTGCCCGGGGGGGAAGACACAGGCTGGGGGATCCCTGGGATCCAGCAATGGCTAAGCAGGAGCCTGTGGCCATGGGTAACTTAAGAGTTCCAGTCCCATTTGGGAATCCATTTTGCTGTGCTTAGAACAAGCCCAGGCAGGGGATGTGGCACCAGGACACTCAGGGTGTTTGTGACCATACCCCAGCACCACGCCCAGCTCCTTCACGTGGACTCTCATCTGGCCCTTGAGATACTCAGACAGCATCTTGCTTTTGAAGTAGAGCTCCTGCAGCCGATCCTCCAGGTGCATCACACACTGGAAAGCAAAGGGAGATGTGTCAGGGAAGACAGTGCTCTATCTGAACCAAAGCAGCCTCAGAGCAGAACAGCACAGACCACACATGCCTGTTGCCTGTTCTGTACTTGTGTCTAGGAGAGATATTCACTGGCAGGACTCTTGCTTTGGAGCAGAAGCCTTTGATTACACGTTAAATCAGAATTAATGAGGCAGCTGTTTTGATTACAGACTGGCATTTCAATAGGCAGCTCAAACAGCTACACCAGAGGATGCACTGGCTACTGAAATTGTGCTACAGATACAAACACTAGGCAGAATCTTAGACCATCACCCTCTCAATTGCCATTCAGACTTACAAAGTTTGGAGATAAATTATGCTTGTAAAGCTGAAGAGTGGAATGAAGCAGGTTGGAGACGAGACTGGAGACTAACACTTCTTTTCCCAGTTTATTGTCAATCATTCTTCTCTGGCTACTGGCCACTTGCACCGTCCACTTGTCTGTGTCTGCAATAATGCAAACGGCCTCTGCGATGGGCTCGTCCAGAACAGGGTGCTGGGAACAGAAAATGAACAGCAGAACCCTGAGAATGACAAATGACAACGATCTTTTCACAAAACATCACCATCCTGGGGAGCAGGATAGCACCCCTGGACAGCAGGATAGCATCCAGGACACTGCTTCCCCTAAAATCCAGTTCCATGTGCCCACGCTGCACTCCATCCACTAAACTGAGGGGTTTTGTGAGCAAGGCACAGTCTCAGAAAGATGGTGGCTATTCTACCTTCTCTCCCAGGCTCGAAAGTGTGTCACTGGCTGACAGTTACATATTTTGATATTTGACATAAAGAGTTCTGACATATCTAAAGTATGTATATTTTAAACTCCTAAAACCAAAACTCCAATTCGCTGTTCAGCACGGCTGTGTTAACAAGGCCGGGTTACTCCCAGTTGTCACTGGTTTCCCTTCATGGGAGGCCAGCAGAGGGAGTCAGGAACCAAGCCTGTGCCTTGCCATTCCTTCCAGCTGGTGCTGCACCTCTCCCAAGCCCTGAAAAGGGGGTTGAAAAAGGGAGTATTTAGAAACCCACTGTCCTTCCCTAATACCTTTTTTGGCCTGGACTGTTAGGAAGCACCTCCTTCCAAAGAGTCCCACAGGGACCTCACACAGTGCTGGGATGCAGTTACTGTTGTACTTGAAGAGAAGCATAAAAATGTGGCTCAGTCAGGCTGTGTTTCAGCCACATCTGTCCCACAGCAGCAGGTACCTCCCACTGCTGCCTCTCTTGCCTGAAATTCAATTACACTTCCCAAATGGCTTAAATATGTGGCTTAAACCAGGCCCTGGAACAACCACCCAGGGAGCAAAACTCATTCCTTGTGGAGCTGGGCACAAGGAAAGGAAGATGAAATGTGGGGAAGAGCCACAGGTCTGATGCACGTTGTTAATGTGAGAAGATGGAAAAAGGGGATGTTTTGGAGGCTCTCAGGAAAGCAGCTGCTCCCCAGCCTGTGCACATCTGGGGTTTTTCCCCATTCCCTTGGGAATAAACTAGAGGGGAGCAGAATCACACTTTTCAGTGACAGTCTGCTTTCCACTCCTTTCCTGGGGACTAGAAGAGGTAGGGAATACCATGCTTCCCAGTCATGCCCCAGTTCATCCAGGGAAAAGCTTCTGTGGAGCAGAGATGATCGATCACCAGCACACGTGAGTAGCACAAGTCCCCTTTGGACAATTATCTTTACATTCGTTTCTCCTTTTCCAGTGAAGCCATCAACACTGGGCACGTGGACTACAATCCTAAAGAAGGCGAAATGCCCCCAAAATACTACACATTCCTGGTGGCTTCACTGTGGAGGACATGTTCTGCTGCACAAGCACACTGGTCAGACGTGCAGGGACAGAGGAGGGAGCAAAGGGAGTTTCTGCCCCTCTGCAGCGAGACCCTGCCCAGGAAGAGATGCACAATCTCAGCTTTTGGGCTGGTTTAACATCATCCCATCCTGTGGGCACACAACCATCCCCTGCCATGCCTACAGGAGATGATGATTCCTCTATGGCTTAGCACCAAGATCCATCTTCCCAAGGCAAGGGCCTCCCAGCTGGCTTCAGTGGGAGTCTAATCTTTTGTGATCCAGATTTGCAGTGAAACACCCACGTGTTTCAGATACATGAACTGAGAGAAGAGAAAAAAACTGGTGACCTGGGACTGGGGAAACGTGACAGGAGCTGTGACAGTAAATATTTCCACTACCAGCAGGTTTGTATGTTCAAAAACATTTACCTTCCCCTACTGTGAGAAATACATTTACCAAATATAGCTTAATTACCTGCACAGCATGAGACAAATCTGACACCAAACAGTGCCTCAGCTTTTCATCACTTCCTATTCCTTGCAAAACAAAGTCAGGGACATAAGATGAACAGTAGCCTCCTAGTAAGGATCTTCCAAAATTGGCAATACTGGGCTGGACAGAGTTCACTTCAACTAATTTTGACCTGCAAGAAAGGCATATCAAAGAGATGTACAACAATAAACAGCAAATTCAGCTTGCAGAGAGGTTGCATTTCCACTTTTATCACAGCTCTTCTAACTTCCATTCAAGCACTTTTTAAGGAGTTTAAAGTCAGCTTTTGCAGTCATGGAAGCAGAGAACACAAGCCAAGATCACGATGCACAATTAATACTTTTTTCCAGACCACTGATCTTGTCACATTCCTTAACAACCAGCAAGCTCAGGAGACACTTTTCCAACCCTGATGCCAAGTTAGGCTACAGTCCTCCAAACATATGACATGAGAGGAGGCTCCATCATTTTTAGGCTGTGTTACTGCTGAACAGTACTTACCCAGGGAAGGGAATCTCATATTCCTCTGCCCAATCTTCTTGCTCTCCTCCGTAATAGTTACTGCCCAGTCTAGTTAGATCATGGCCTGTATCCTCACTTTCACTGTCACCCAGGGCACTGTCTGAACTCTCATTTCTTGGAATGTCCCAATCAATCCCTGGGGCGACTTTTTTCTCTACGTTTTCTCTGTCCCCATGGGGGACACGAATAGAGATTTTCTCTCTTTGGTCCTGCTCATTAAAGCAGTTTTTGTAGGTCTCTTGTCGAACAGAGTCCATGAATTTACAAAATTCACTAGGCGGTTTGCAAGCCTTTGTACACAGCTTTTTAGAAAACTCTAAACTACTGTTGTGAGCAAGAAGGTCCGTAGCTGCTTGCCCTGGAATATCATCAATAGTCCGGGTTTCAACTGAACTGTCATCAGTGAAATACTCATCAAACAGGCTCATGCTCTCAGCACTGCACGGGTTTGGGTTCCAGCTCTGATGCTCACTAGCAACTTGAGGAAAGGGTTCAGCTGTCCCACAGTCTCTATTTTGGTCCTCAACAGTTTGTTTAGCTTCACAGTTCTGATCAGCAGACACTGCTGCCTCCGCTGCTGGCGGGCTGTGATGCCTGGCAATTTGTTCCACTACTGCCTGACTCCTCAGCTCGATGTCTGAGTCAGGTGACATGGAATCTCCGATGAGGAAAGTCACCTTTGTCTGGGCCTCGGCGGCGCAGGGGAAGGCGTCGCAGAAGAGCTTGTCAGGGGGCTTCTTCTCCACGGCGATGCCGGGTGTCCGCGTGCCCCCGCCCGCGGGGCTGCCCAGCTCCAGCCCCTCCTCGCCCCTCCACGCGCTCCCTGGGGCCTCCACTCCAGAGTCCGGCCCTGCAGCCGCCCCCGTGCACACCACAGTCTCCAGCTTGGTGTCCGTGCAGGGCCTCGGCTGCTTCACATCCACAGCATCTTCCTGCCCGTCGTCGGGGACGATGGTTCTGCTCTCGTCGGAAGAAGTTTCCAGCTCTCCCTTGGGAGTGCTCTGCGTGTCTTCTCGCTCGTGCTGTGGAACCCCTTCTATGTTCTGTGCCAGGGAAGGGGGACATTTGCAGTATTTACAGCTGCAGTTGGCAGTTCTCGTCTCTTCAGACTCCGTGGGCAGCAGGTTGCCCCTGTTCTTGTGCATTGTGACAAGCACATACTCAGACTCTTCCACTTCTCCTTTCTCCAGCGTGGTGGTGATCACAGTGCCGGGCATGACGATGGCCTCGTCCTCCCCGTTCTCTAGAAGATGTGTCTCTTGCAGTTCAGAGCATCTGATGAAGTAAGTGAGGAAGTAAAGCAATCTCTGGACCAGGTCATGCCTTTTGCCAACCACAACTGTTTTTGCCAATCTCACAGGTGATCCAATAGCCCCATACAGGTCACCTAGGACAGGAAATAAACACACAGTTATTTGGTATCTTTGCAATAAATTATTCTTCTAACAGCAATTGCTGGGGCTGTTTTTCAAAGGCCAGGTCTACAACAGAGAAATACTGAAGCAGCAGAGTGATGACAGCTATCCTCTATTTTGTTTTCAACAGATAGAATCCCAAAGATGCTGTTGGTATCAGTCTGTAAGGTGAGCCACTGGTCAGGGGGACATCTGATCTCACACATCAGGGACCACCTCACTCCAGCTTTGGAGGCTCCTCTCCTGGGATCCTTATATAGCCATGGGAGAGAGGAGGCATCTGCATCCACCTACCCTGGAGAGTCTGGAAACTGGGCTGAACTTTTACCCACAAGAGAAAGCTGTGAAAGAAGCAAACCTATGCCAGGAATGAGGGCAAAAAGTGATGGTGGCAGGTGCATGGCTAGAGCCAACCTCCTTCTGTTCCCCTCCCTGAGCTCTGCTATGGGTTGGATGGGGTGTTCTGACTGTACTCCACAGTCACCTGGGCAGGTGCCTGTGTGTTCTGGAGGTATTAGGGCACTGCAGGGATGAGGGGACAAGGGGCCCAAGAGGCCTCAAATGCCACTCTAACCACAGTGGGTCCCTCAAGTCCCATGAGCTCTGAAATCAAGTCTTCTTGCCAACTCTCTGGCCATTCTTGCCTGTACCAGAACAGGACAACCTCACAGAACTCTCCCTTCCCTTCCCTAACCAAATTCCAGGAGAGTGTGTGTGCAGAGCAGGGCATTCTGACCTTATCTCCCCTCCTCTACTTGCAATTAGCAGACAGCATGACCAGCTACACTGACTGGGCTTTGAGACCTTCCCAGGAGGTTGCTGAGCCATGATTTCCTGTTCTGCATCAATCCATTATATTAAGAGTGTGTTCATTTCTGATCAAAAGATGGATTTCCCCGATTTTCTCTTTCTACAATGAGGCTTATTGATAGCAGCATCCCAAAAATTAAAAATGGATTTTCCTTCTAGACAGAGGGCCAGGGGAGAGCTGGAATCCTCTACAGGTGACCTTAAGGGACCCCACAGAGGTGACTAAAGAGGGCCTTACTTTTGGGCTAACATTTTACAATGCATAATGCCTTAAGAAACTAGAGCACACATAAAAAAAATACAGTGACCACCTCTAAGCTGGAAACACACACTTTTGTCTCATTTTGAATTAAGAAATCAATAACTTGGGAGGGAAGTAACAAGCATCATAAACCCATTCCTGTAAAGCTGCTGGGTGGTTTAGAGGTGATTGCCACGTACCAAGCTGTGCCCACAGAGGGTTGTAGGGATGGGTTTTGGCCAGCATGTCCACGCTCTGGGAAGAATGCTTCTCCAGGAAGATCCTTATGGGTGGCTGGCCATTGGGCATGACGGTGGGGACCCAGGCCAGGTGGTTAGTCAGCACTGCAGTCAGCAAAGCTGGCAAAAACCTGAAAGCAAAACGTCCAGCATGGGGTTTTTTTCCAGGTACACACTCAGGATTTAAACTGACAGCAGCTCCACACTCTAGATGGATCAAGGATTGCAGAAACAGCCTGACAAAGTCAGCACAGATCATCCCTTCAGTCCTGGTTTTCAGGGAGAGAAGGGCTGGCTGGACCCTCCCTCCCACCCCTGCAAAGCTCTTTCTTAGAACACACATTTAAAGTAAAATGAAATTTTTACTTCTGTGGCATCTCAGTTCTTCTGTTTGGCAATAACTACGAGACTTCCTATTTTGCCAGTTTTATGCTGTGAAGCATCTCAAAACCAACTTATTTTGTTCACTATAAGAAAGCAGTGGCACTGTGTGGCCTCTGTACTCCAAGGAGATCCCAAACCCATAAGATCTGTGACTATGGATGAGAAGGAAGGCTATCACTACCAAACCTGTAAAATAGCTGGGTGCTGTGTTCTTTCACATAACTGTTGTGCAATTCCAGCACACAAGGCTGCTCCTTTCAAAAATAAACCCCCCCAAAGTTCTTTAGCTCAGCCAGAGAAGCTGTGCCCTTATGCTGGCAAAACAGTTTTCACTAGCTAAGAAATTAAGGCTAAAAACCTTTCTGAAAAACGTTAACTATCTGATTTATTGCAATGATAGAGCATGGTTTCTGCTCCGTGGAGGCAACTTCCCAGTCAGTTTTCCTGGCAGGAGCAGGACCCAGGAGCCTCCACACACCAACAGATGGTGCTGGTGGCCTCAGCAGCTCAGGTGTGGGGAGGAAAACAGTTAAATGCCTCAAAATAACATTATTTGAATAGTTTACAAGCATCAGGAACCCTACAGCTTCCATGTAGCCAATTCCTCACTGGAGACAGCCGAAGGAGGAGAAGAGATTTAAAACTGGATTGGAAAGGATACAGAGCTTAATTTCCTCTTGCTTCCATCACTGTAAATCTTACTGTATTTAAAATAAAGCAAACAAACCCAAATAAAGGACCATTTAAATGTAACCAAGATGTATAGGGCTCAGAATGGCAAGGATCAGGATGGCCCAGGAAAAAAGCTTCCACTGAAGCAAGAACTGATTTTAAGAAAACACATTTGAACCCCTCACAGTTTCCCTGTGGTTTCTCCCCTTGCACTGGGGCAGGAGCAGGTGGACCACACTGAGGAGAGAAGAGGTGACAAAGGTGGTGGCAGAGCTGGAGGATGGGAGCAGCAGCCCCTTCCCTGAGCCACCCCTTCCCCCCCTGCAAAGAGAGAAAGCAGCTGCTCTGCCAGTGCCATTCCCACCCAGCACACGTCTGTGCTCGTTTTAGGACCTCACTGGAGCCAAATGCTTTAAAAACTTCCCCTGCTCGTGCCCTGGGGAAAGGGGATGAAGTGTTGACATAAGAGTAAATTTATCAGATTCACCCCAGTTTATCAGGAACTTTCTCAGTTTTCAACACCCGCTCAGGGCTGGGGCCTGAGGCCAGAGAGGTGAGCACTGATCAGCACACCAGTGGCATTTATAATGATTTAAGGTTTAAGAGCAATTTGTGGTCAGGCAGTATTACAAAAACAGCTCTTCCTGAATGTCTAACCCTGCTCATCATATGACAACTGATTCTGAAAGGTAGATTAGTGCATTTCGTAAGGTATGTTCACCCACTTCCAGACATCCACACCCATCACATGCTTCCCATGGATGTGTTTTAGATGTTCAGCCTCTACCAAGATTTAGAGGATTGTGGGGAAGCAGAAATGTAATGAGATAATTTCTTATTCCTTTTTTGTTTTAAAAAGCAGGTATTTATGGACGGCCTTTTGATTCTTTGGTTGCCAGGATTTTAACAACCGATTGTTTGAAATTTGGTTTGAAACTAAAAGGCACAATCACATATGGAATTGAAAAACTCAAATCCACCGTACTGGTTCTTGGAAGCGTTTTCCATCAGGAAAGTGAACTCCTTCATGAAGCGATGGCAGAGCTGGTTCTTCTCGGGTGTCCCTGACATCATGGTGAGCCAGACCGGCTCCCCGATCCGGGGCATCGTGTACAGGTTGCAAATTGTTGTTCTAGAAAACAAAACCAAAACATCCAGCAGGCTAAACAAACAAAAAAAAAATGAAAGGCAGAGATCCCAGCTTAAAGAATTTACTGCAACATTTAGTTCCAGCTGTCATTTCTATGAGAAACAAAATTTCTCTCGTCCACCATCATCCAAACCATGTTGTTTGTTCAATAGTAGGAATTCACCCTTCACCAGGGAGAGCTGAACCTCACAGGTTCCTCCTGCATCCACCTGAACTGATCCCAAGCACAGCAACACTCCCTGCCACAAGCCAAGAGCTGCCCTGCTCTGACTGCAGAAGGAATGATTTCTTGTTGCTGTTATCTCCTTGCTTTCTCCATTCAAAACATACTTCTGCTTTATTTATGACTAGGACAAGTTTATCTATATGACTTATACCTGAACTTCCTCCTTGCTTTAAAAACTTGGTGTATCTCAAGGCCAAACCCCCCCAAGTGTGATGTGTAGAGCAGGGGAACAGCTCACCTCTTTAGCTTTAAATAGAGAGTATGGAAGTCAAAGTCACCCCATGGCTGTTCAGGTTACACACTCACCCACATCCTTTTTGACTCTACAGAAGACAGTCAATCTATGATTAAAAATTTGGCTCTGCAGTAAAATCCCAGATTAAAACCCCTCAGATTACTGTTAAACTCTTGAGAATCTAAACTAAATTCTAGTTTAGTTTTAAGTACAAAGCCTCCATTATGACACTATGGGAACCTGTATTTTTATCACAGTAAAAATGTAAGCCCAAAAAAACCCAAAAGAACAAGGGAAATGACTGATCAATTCAAGTTTCTCCCCACTTAATGCACTACTTTTTCTAGATGAGGTATTTTTGTTTTACAAGACAACGATTTACATTATCCCATTATCCCCAGTACCACCCCCTGATTTATAAAGATCTTCTCTGTATATCTTGGTCTCAAAATTTATGGACACTTCCAGAAGTAAAGCCATGGCTGTGCATGCCAGGCAGGCAAACACACTCGAGCAGCAGCGGCCAAATCTTCTGTGGTTTAGTGTTTAAAGTGCAACTCCCAGGAAGTGAGAGCAGCACGTCAGCAGCAGCACAGCACATCCCAGCCCTGGCACGGGGGCTCCCAGGGGAGGAAGGAGTTACCCCCCAGCTATTTGGCAGAGAAGCAGCTGGGTGGGGACAAGACCCTCAGAGCAGCTCCCCAGAGGGCACTGAAGGTGACTGGAGTCACTGGGGCTGCTCCAGAGGGAGGGAGGTGAGGGGGCAGTGCCATTCTTTGCCTTATTTTTTCCGCCTGTGCTCACCAAATACAAAATCCATTCTGTGTGCTCATAATAGTCCAAATCAACCCTGTCTTCCTCAAAGGTTACAACTTCAGACCCTCCACTGCCACAGGCATGATGAGAACACCAGAAAGCAGCCTGTGGGCTGGAGAGAGGGACAGCTGAGTTACCTTTGCACTGCCCAGCCCTCAGAGGCTTTGCTGGCTGCTGGGTCACTGCTCCATGTTACCCTCTGCTCCTGGTCCTCTCCTGGCAGGAAAGCCCAGCCTGGTGACAGACTGGGCACAAAGTCCTGACAGACTGGACACGAGTGGGGCACCAGTACTGCCACATGCAGGGGACAGGGGGTCTCTGGCAGCACAGGGGCTCGGGGCACTTGGGATTTCATTCCTCTGCAGGAGCAAACTGGGACCAGGGACGGGATTTTTAAGGGAAAGCTTTCTGTTCACAGCTCATTAACTGGAGTGGATGTTAAAGAGGCCCCAAGAAAGGGAGAAACCCCAAGTCCAGGGACTTCAAAGTTCAAAACAAGTCTCAAGACCTACACCCCCCAGACACAGCTGACCTGAGAAGCTGGAGATAAACAGCACAACTTAACGTAAAATACAGCTTATTTCTCCTTCCTATGCAAACTAACCCGAGCCAAGCCCCTTGCAGCTCGGCTGTTTTGAAAAAAGAAACTACTTCTATACTAAACCCAACACATTAAAATATTTGTTTTCGTTGAAAAGATAGCCCGAGTCTTGTGATTCGTTATTTACTATTCTGGTAACCCTGGCTGCATCTGCAGCTGATAGTGTTTCCTCCGAGCCAGATCAGATTGCCCTGGCCCCTGGCCAGCAGGCATGTGACTGCAGTGCAGGGAACCCTCCATGCCAGCGCAGGCAGCAATGGCACAGAGACCAAGGGCAAGGATTAACTGCTTCCCAGCTCTGCAGACACCCAGGGAAACGCTCCCCTGCCAGTAAGGAAAGGGCAAAAACGAAAACAAAACAAAACATAAAAACCCGAGAAACCCTCCCCGAACACTACAGGGAAGTTTAGTGGATTTAAAAAACAACAACCATCACAAACCCAGTTGGCCCCTCTCCCCTCAGCCATCTGCAGCAGGAGACCCTCCCCTCCCCTCCCTCACCGCCCCCACACACCAGCGAGGGAAAGTTCAGTTAATGAGAGACTCTGCTCTTTTGAGGGTTCCAGTGCATTTAAATTGGTTTATATTTGGAAACGCCTCCGGGAGGCTGAACTCCAGCCCGGAGCTTACAGGCACCTCAGCCCCAGCACTGCAGCACCGGGCACAGGGGCCGGGGGAGCCCCTCAGGAAACACCTTCACACCCCACAGGGCGGGAGAGCAACTGCCAAGCGGAAAGGGAGCCCTGAGCAAACCCCTCCTCAGCCCCTCTGGGGTCTGCCCCAGCGGGCACAGATGGCACCGAGGCGAGCAGCCCTGCTCCTGCAGACAGGATGGCACAGCACGGCTGCTCCTGCCTCACCCTCACCCACACACACCCCAAACCACCCTGGCCTTGGGCCCGGATTTCAGTACCAGTCTGAGACATCTTTCCCTGGTGCTCTGCAAACCAAACGAGGCAGACAGCTCCTCACGGATGAGAGCATCCTGCTGCAACCCCTTCCTCCCCGAGGAAAACACACGGACCCCCAGCACTGTGCCCCCAGAGCTGCTCTGCTATTTAGGAGCCGCAACACAACGACAAAGAAAAAACACCAGTGGCTTATAAAGCTTAATTCACGTGCATTTGCTCCCTATCCTCATTTCTTCCTTCCAAAGATGGCTTTTCCTTAAAAAGGAGCAAGAAAACAAAGGCAATCCCCACTGCAGGGAGTGCAGGAGCAGGGGAGCCCCCGCGACTCCGTGCTGGCACCACCGAGCAGAACGCACCAGTCAGTTCACAGCAGCATAAGCTGCTTAAAAATTACTGGCAGAAAATAGGATCAAATCTGTCTGCCAGAAAGCGGAGAGAGGTGTTTCCCCAGGCCCCGAGATCAGGGTTTCCTTGCCAGCCTGCCTCTGTGCCACACAGGTATTAGTCAGATGCATAATCTGTGTTATCAATGTGCTGCGCCGGCCTCGGGGACTGGGGGAGCCGAAATGTTTATGCAAGTACAGTAGCTTATTTCATAAGTCATGTGTCTGCACAGCTGACATCCACAGAGAGTTCTAAGCCTCTAAGTCAGGTGTTAATAGCTAAACCCATCAGTGCTTTAGAAAATTAAAAATTGCTGTAAAGTGACTAATGATGCAAGGGTAGGCCTGGAGCTGGGCACCAAATCGATGGCAAATTTATCAACAGCATCCATTTGCAGAAGCAGCCTGGGCCTTCCAGAGAAGGTAGCTTTGTTTTTCCCTACATGAGACAACAAAAGCAAAGCAAGGGTCTGTTTTGCTGTCTTTTCTTCTCCCCCTCTATCCTCCAGTAGCAGCAGATAAATGCCTGCTGGCCCTGCAGGCAGCTCCTTACAATTTCTCTTGCAGGTAGTGGGGTGACCTCCAACCACAGCCCCTTTCCTGCACGCTCCCTCCTCCCTTCTCTGATCAGCACAGCAGCACATCCCCCACGCCCCACTCATCTGAGGTTATTCTGATCACCAGACTGCACATCAGCTACTCTTGGGCACCTCTGAAAATGTGGGGGTTTTAAAGAAAAACAAACAAACAAACAGATTCTCCTTTAAAGCCACCCCAAAAACAACCAGACTGCAACGAGTTAAACCAGCACAGGATTACATTTTAGAATCACCAACCCACTGAAGTCAGCACCCTTCTTCCCTCCAGCACAGTTTGCTAAGAGGGCAGGAATCAACACAAGTCTCAAGTTCACCAAAGGACTCAGCTCCTGACTTCCCCGTGACTTCAGTGGGAAAGCAGACGCCTAAAGAGATAATAGTGTCCTAAATGGGTTTGCTGAACCCGTGCCAAAGCATCTTTGCATCCAGCCTGCAGTATTTAAATATGCTTCTTGCTTCTTACCAGACACATCCTGCATGGCTTTGAAAAGCAAGGGGCTCTTGCCTGTCACACAAATGGGGATGTCACAGGGACACAAGGACCCTGCCTGGGCTGGAGGCACAGGCTGCTGCCCACCTCTGAATGCAATCCCTTAAAAAAGCCAACAAAACGCAGAATTGCCAAAGGCTGCTGCCCCAGGAAATTCATTTCCATGAAATTAAACTGGATTTAATTTACCTCGTTACACTATTAAGGAGTAATATTTATATCACCATGGAAACCTCTGCATAAAACTGCTGGTTGGACACATGCTCCCAGTGCTGGTTATGCAAGGGCTGTGTCATGGGAATGATCCCAGCTCCTGGTGTGCAGGAGAGTGCAGATCTGCACCTTCCTCCTCAGCCTGTCCACAGCACCCTCCCTCATCCCATCCCAGCTCCACACTGCTGAGCTCCCCTCCAGGAGGAAAAGCCAGCACGGGGGATTTGGCTTGTGTTTTCAGGGTTATTATTCCTACTTTTGACTCGGGATAAGTGCCCCTCCCCAGCCCTCTGGAACTGTTTAACTTGGAAGGACAAAGGAGAACGGGCAAAGTCCGCTGAAGTATCTTGAGGAGGAATGTTTTGGGGGAAGATTTGGGCAAACAGCTGGGGAGGTGGTGTAACAGAGGGTGGGAAGGCAGAGAAATGGCTCAGGGAGAGAGCAGGGGGGAGAGGCAGAGCAGAGCTGGGGGAGCAGAGGAACCACAGAGGCTGCTCCCAGTTGCTGAACTCGTCTCAGGCCCCTGGGCAGGATCAGCGGCTCCCAGTCACGAGCTTCCTCTGCTCCCTCTCTTGGCACAGCTGATCCCATCCACCTCTCACCGCAGGCCCACGTGCTCCCTCTTCCCTGCCTCCTGTCCCTACAGAACATATCCTCTGCCCTTCCTTGTGACTGCCTGGAGCTTCTAAAAAAAATAAAAAAATATACTGTGCCTTCATCCTGCAGCACCACCTAATCCATGGCACTCAGGTAGTACATGGAATTGTGGAAAAGTAAGGGAGCCCTCAGGATCCTACACTGTTAGTAAAATACATCCTGATGTCAGGATTTTCTTTTTATAACATCAGAGCACTGTCTTCAATAACGTCTTTAAAAAGTAGCTCTACAGTGGTTGTAAAAGGAAGCACCCTGCCACTCCCATCTGAGAGGAGATGAATCACTCAAAACAGATGGATTTCATCTTAATTCCCTCCCCCCCCATGACTTCAACTATGGAAAGAGAATACAGCTAAATGCCAGGGATGTGCTTATCTGTGCTACTTTGTATATTAACTGTTGAACAGAGAGGCTCTGCAGGTACTGATAGCCAGAGATTACAGCACTGCATTTTACTGTGGGAAAAGACAGCTCTCCTTTTGCCTACTTGGTTATCTGAAATACCTTTAGAGCACAATTTAGAGTGCAGTGAGCTTTGCTCACACATCAGGAAAATACACACTAAGGTGGATTTCCCAAACATGGCTTTGCAATGCTTTTCCCCCTCTCAACGGGCCATAAAAGATAATTTAAGAGGTCACTGTGAGCTCCATTACCAACTAAAACACAGAAAACATTGATCATCTGTGTCCTGTTCACACCAGGCCCTGATGGATACACACACTTGGCAAAATCTGAAAACACAGACAGAGTAGAATGGCTTGGTACCACCAATCCTTTGCCGTAGTTACACTTGCAGAAGACTTTACACATTGTAAGTTACTTATCCTGCACTAAGAAGGTCCTTCTAAAACAGACTCTGCTTTTGAAGGAACAGACACAAAAGGCAGAAGTCACACTGCTCACCTGAATTCATTAAGGGCATCCACAATCCTGTTATAGGCCAAACTCCGCTGGCTGGCATCAGCTGATCTCCGGCTCATTTTCATAGCCTTGAAAGCAATCATTAAACAGATGAGTAACACAGAGCTTCAGAAGCACAGAAAATGGAAAATAAAGTCATGTGTTTGCATCTATCTTTCATGCAACTGGTCATGCAAAAAAATTATTTAAGTGATAAAAAGATGGTACAGGTGCCAGCTTTCCTATCTGAGGGAAGACAGGTGAGGCACATTTGCAGCTTCTGCTTCTTCTGTGCATTTCATCCTTTAAGGCACAGAAGGGGTCAAAATTTTGACTGCAGTGATGCAATTCCTACACCCAAGAGCAAGTTGATCCCACCTTTTGTAACTAGCAACAGGAGTTAGGAACTAAATCTGACAGGGCTGGGGGAACACAGAGCAGTACAAGGGCAAGAATCCAAAGCGAGCGTGTTTACCTGTTCTATTGCACTCTTCAGTTTGTTCATGTGACTCTCAAAAAGAGGGAAGTGTGAGAAGAAGAACTCGTTGAATTTGTTGTTTTCATCTTCATCTCTTGAGAGTGAAAAAATAACCCCAATTGCTATCTTTTTCTTCCTAACAATTCCTGGGCTTGGACCAGAGCTGTCATCTGACAAGTTGAAACTTTCATCCATGGACCTTGGAGCATGAAAAAAAGAGAAAGTTAATGTAATCCACTGATAAAGTTGTACCTTGGTTTGCTGTGTAATTCAGTTCTTGAACACTTAACTTCAACAAACACCTTTTGTTTGCATGTGTTGTCAAATCATCACCTTTGACAACATCCACTTAGTGATTTTTTACAAGCAACCATTAACTGATCCTGCAATCACAGAAGCTGGAACCAGATCGAGTGTGTTTGTGGGATCAGAATATGGTATTCTAGTTCTCTCCCATCTCTGCCAAGAATTTGTGTTGCGAGTAGGATTTTAGGGCTTCTTATCCTCAAAAACACAGCCTACAGATTTACATGCTGCTGAAGGCTTTCCAGTTAGTGCAAAACAATGAACTGCATGAGGAAAACAGAGACTAAAAAAGATCAGCCTGACTTACACCTCTGTCAGTACCCCACGGAGAGCAGCAGCGAGCGCAGATGTACATATGCAAGAGCAGAATCAAGCTGACAACGGGGGAAAATGTATGGGCAGCAACCAGCATTTGAATTCCCAGCTCACCATCGAGGGAAGACCCCGTTCTCCAAGCTGGTAGTCTGGCTGCGACGCCAACGCCGCTGGTAGCTGCTAGCACAGCTTTTGTTAAACGAGGAGCCCGGGGATGGGAACGGAGTGATGAGCAGACTGCTAAGAGATGCTGCAAGAACAAGAGGAATAAATAAAAATCTCTCCTCACAAGAAAGAGCATTTGGAAAATAACACCAGCAGCTAAATGAAGCCCCTCAAGATATACCGGTGTCGCTTCTCGGGTGCTTTCTCTTTTGCTTATCGGTGTTTCTTATCTAAAAATAACCCGTTTATAATGACATTAACGAGCCATACAAGCATTATGAGGGTGGCACAGTCCTGCAGCTTTACATAAGAAGCAACACACAGGCTGTACCTTGCTCAGCAACCTGAGTATTGGGAAATAAATTCTTTGTGGAAAGGAGTAATGTTGATGACATCCTTCCAATCCTAAGCCCAGTGCCCAACATCCCGAATCTTAAGGGAGGAGAGGGGTGGTTTTGGAGGTGAATTCATGTTTTAATGTCACTGTCAGGGAATCACAAAGTCCCAAACTGGTTTGGGTTGGAAGGGACCTTAAAGCTCATCTTGTTCCAACCCCTTCCACTAGACCAGGCTGCTCAGGGCCCATCCAATGTGGCCTCCCTGATTTGGAAAGGAGATGACAGCAAGTTTTGTTTAGAAATGCTGCAAGCTCATTTCAATATTTAATCTGCTTTGCTTTAATAATTGGCCCTGCTGTCAGGTTACCTGTGAGGTGCCTGAAGCACCATTTGTTCCTGTACACAGAGGCATCATTAATGTTACACAGAACAAGCCAGAACAGTCCCATTTCAGCACTATTTGCTGCTGTGCAGAGATCCCAGTGACCAACATTACTGAGTCTTTTTGGAGTGTAGGGGGTTAACCCACGGAGCTGCCATTACCAGATCTTGCTATACCGCTGTCTCTGTCCTCATTCTGCTCCCTCCCAGGCATATCCATAGGGTTGCTATGAACTGTAAAACAAGGAATACCAATTAGCAGGGGAATATACAGTTCCTTTCTTGTTTGCAGATCTCCATGTAATTAATGAAACAAAAACATGCTCATTAATTCAGATCAACAGCACTGCACAAGGCCATCACCAAGAAAGGCTGCTTAGCTGAACAAGCCAAAACACTTATCTGAGAAGCCTGTATGTGTTTTTCTCCAGTCCATACACCTATTTTAGTGCAAACTGAAAGTGGTACACTTTGTTTCTTTACACAGATAATTTTCAGTGAAATTTTAATGTACCAAGAGGATGTTAGTCCCACTGGTAGTACTCAGTGTATGGACAAAAAACCACCAAAACCCAAAATGAACACAACTTCATTCATATACCAGCTTTCTCAGGTATTATAAATGTAATTTCATAAGGATTTTCAATGCTGTCTTGAAGAAAATAATACTTTTGAGTTGTGAGCAGTGCATTGGTTGTTCAACTAAGCCAAAAGCTGTCCAGATTCAGAGTCTGCATATACACAAGATCAAAAGTGTCTCAGGCTCAATGGTCTTTAAATGTGATATATTTTACAAATGTGTGTGTGAAATAAAACTACTCAGCCATGGAAATAAGACCCAGCCACTAAAAGCAAGAAATGTCCATTTTGAGTGAATCTAGGTTAGCTTTAGTTTTACAGTTGAAACCAGTCCAGATTAAAATAGCTTGACACCATTGTGAAATATTATTTCCAGAAATATGAAATCCATATTAAAATATATAAGTTTTCAAAACAAAGCAACGCAAACAACCCCAAAGAGGACTGTTAAATGCCTGTTGTCCTCTGGGGCTTTAAGGGATGTATCCAAAAAGGTAAGAGAGCAAACATCACTGTCTGTTTTGTATTTAAAAAAAAAAAAAAAAAGAAATCTTATTTCCAGGGCTGAACTACAAATGCCCCCCCAGTTTGTCACCCAGCTAGACTAGCCCACAGCACACAGCACACTGCAAACCTGCAAAGAAAGAGGCGCTCCGGATGAGGCGGAGCGGACCTTGCTCTGAGAATGCCCGCCTGGGGCTGCAAAGCTGGGAAAGACCTACACGGCAAAACGTAAAATACACATGAGAGAATGAGGTTAGTAAAGCAGAACAGTCCCTAGGGAGGGGGCCAGGGCAGGGAGAAGATATGAGCCAACATAAATGCAGAGTAACGTAGGCAGAGAACAGCTCTGAGGCCTGACAAGAACGCTGGTGTGAGGGTAAGTCCCACAGTTGGACGGCACAGTACTTATAGAATTAACATAATAGACCCAGCTTTCCAGTGTCTCCCATACAAGGACGAGGTTTCTCAAAAGGGCTTTTTTTTTTAAGGTTGAAAAATGATTAATTTATGCAGGCTCAAAGCCTAACTTGATCACAAACAGGAGATTCATCATGGAGTATAATGTTTGTTTTAACATCCACAGTGGTAGAGTGGCTGGGAACACTGGTGCTGAAGAGGAGAGGGGAGGGGGGAGAAGGCAAGCAGGAATTCAACTTAGTAGAACCAACAGAAAATTATGGGCTGAAGTAGTTGTTCTGAGAACAGTCAGTACATCGGTTGAGTGAAATGATCACATAGAAAATAAATGTTAGCAGCCTCAGTAGTTCATTTTAAAAGTAATACTGAGTTGTAGATATACCAAGAAAACAGTGTATTTACTGTACACAAAGTCAGGAAGAGCACTTTAACGAGTTAATTGCCAGTCCCTCTCCTACATGTGAAGCTAATGCCCACTCAAAGTTTTTGGATTATACAAAACACGAAGGCTGCACCTCAAAGCTCCCTTCCATTCTCTCAGGCCTTCACTCATTAAAGGGAACACATGACCAGAGCTGCTGGTTTGTTTTTTCAACCAGTGTATCTAAAAAAAGCACGTTGTAAATAGTTCCCAACCAAAACACACAGACCCTTCTCTTGCCACAGGTGAGTCAGGAGCTGCTGAGCACAGTTGTTAGAAACGCTGCAGTTACAGATTAACTCCTTTCCCCACTTTGCCCAGGGTTCCCTCTGTGCTTAAATGGGAACTGTAAACAAATACTGCTGAAAATTTGTGCAGCTCAATCACAAAGAAAGCTTCAGCATCCTCTCCTTGCAGGCAACCCCGTGCCTCTTGCCACACACCCTTGCTCCGAGGTGCCCACACCTCCTGGGCAGCTCTCAGGGCAGCCACTGGGCTGCTTGGAGGGGAAGAGTCACCCTCACCTCAGAGCTGGACATGGGTGGCACTGCCTACACCTGAATCACACCGAGCCCTCTCCTAAGAGCTGCCTTATCTGAACTGGAACTTGCAGTTTAGATCTCTCTGGTGATACAGCAAACTTTTGCCAAGCACAAACCACAGCAAACCCTAAAAGTAGGTGAAGTGATCTCCTCTCTCTTAGATCGGGCACCTCATGCACTGTGAAAGATCACAACTGAAGTCTGAAAGGAATACTGAATATTAAGAGAAATGTCACCTTTTAAACTATCCTGACTTAGTGAATTCAGGAAGCATTTAATAGATAAAAAGGTTCTTGCAACTTTAATTGGCTTCCCTTATAGAGGGACTATTGGGAATGACTTTAATGAGGTATACAGCTCATTTGCCTGAAAAGCATTTAAGCCCATGCCTAGGAGCAGTCTTATCAAAGTCAGTGTGAAGGAGAGAAGTAAACACTCCCAAGAATTAGGACCACATCAAAGTCAGAAACCCAGTTAAGAGCAACCCAGTCATCAAATCCACTCCTTACTTCCAACCCTATAAAAGCATATTTTACATACAGCAGTATTCTGGAAAGCAATTCTAAAAAGAAGCCCCTTATTCCACCTACAACAGACATTTGCTTGGAGAGTCAACAATCAAAATGAAGGGAAAGGGAGGATGTGCTATAGAGCCATGAATCAGGTGGCTACTACTGGAACGAAGCACTGAAGCCCAGTATCTCTACTATCATCTCAACTGTTCCCAAAGGGAAGAGCCAAGACCTTCCCCTCTTTGTTATCTAATGTTCACGGGGCCTCCACCCACAGCCCTTCCAGGAGGCTGAGAACCAAGGACGCCAGATGGCTTCTCAACACTGCTTAACTCCCATGGCCAGGCAGAGGAGAGAACACAAAGATACTCTGTCTAATCTGATCCAAAGCTGCAGCACAGCTGTGCAAGGTTAACTGAGACTCGGAGGAAACACGTGGCCACACGTGCTCAGGTGGGCAGAGTACAGAGCAGAATGAGAATTATTAACGAAAATAAAACCGGGGAGCTGAGCCAGGCACAATCAATCCTGCCTGACCCGACACGTGCTGCTCAGGACCTTCTACAGAACGTTATTTTCCAACATTTTCTGTATTTGCACTGAAGTATATCTAAATATTTCCATTATGTATTTTATATACACATATACAGCTGTGTATACTGAACTACTGATAATTCCCTGAACAGTCTGATTCATTCTCCTCCAAACTCCACCAATATTAATTTTCTGTTACATCTTTAGCTTTTTTTTATGTGATTCTCTTTAAAAGACTTGCATATTCTAGAATCTATGATTACTCAATTAAAGATATCAGCAAACAAAATCTGTTTGTAATTACCTATATTCCCAAGAAGTCCATTCATAATGGTACTGTGGTCAGGCTTTAATGTATTGCTGTCTTGATTAATGAACTCAAGACTGTCCTGCAACCTATAATAAATATAAAACATACAACAAAACCAGTGATTTGCATTTCAGTAGAACAAAATGTTAGTTCATTATAGCCTGAATGGAACAGACAAGGTAAGAACACAGGCTTCCACTAGGAAAAGCTTTCGGAGTCTAAGCCATGTTCTCAGGTGGGTCAGTTAACACACAGAAAACTAAACTCTGAAGCCAGATATTTTTGTAACACCTTTTCCTTCATCTTGGACTGAATTTCCCCCATTGCAGGCAGTTCTGTACCTTCCAATATCAAGCTTCCCCATAGCAGCACGGAAGGAATGGTTCATTCATTCACTGAGAGCAAACTGAGGTGAAGACAACCGTGAGGGGAAGGTGAGGATGCTACTGACAGGATGTAACAAGAAGTTACTTTTTTAGAGAAAGAATCTGGAGGGTCCAAAAAAAAAAAAGTCTCATGTGTTTGTACTGTTCACCTGCCCATGTGCAATAGCTACAGGCTGGGGGGACTCACGTGTTGAGGCTGCCGTAGATGCTGCTCCCGGTGCGGGCTGTGAACACCTTGCTGAGCATGAGCTGGGGAGGTGAGCTGAGGAGGGCAGGAGGGAGAAATCAGTCAGAAACACAGTGCCAAGACAGGCCTGGCTTTCCATTTCACGACCCCCCAGATTTTACAGACCTTCACACGACACAACGGCCTTTTGTTTCAAAAGTGACATCAGAATAACGTTAAGGCAAACACAGAAATCCCTTTTACTCTGCACTGTGCCATTCAGTTCAGCAGGCAGCAGCACTAAGGAGGGAGTCTTCTGAAAGCACCAGCAGCAAAACATTAATCTTACCGGATCTGGTGAATTTTCAACGTGGAGCCCTTGTAGCTCATGGCCACAGAGCCAAACATCATCTCTCCAAGCATGTTGGCATCTGAGGAGCACCGAGAACCCTGCAAAAAACAAACCCAACAACATTTGGGTTTAAGCATTTTAGAAGCACACTTCTATTAGGGGGTGTAAAAGACAGGAAAATATTCTTTATCTAAAAGATAAACATGCAAAATATCTTCCTAGAACACTGTTGAATATGCTAAAGTTGAACAGCTTAAAGAAGATAATGCTAGCACAGAAAGTGATCTTCATATTGGCTGTGAGCTCAACCACTAAAACCATTCAAAAAACCTAACCCATCTGGGTGAGGGGAAGCAGATTCCAACTGCATTGAGCCAGGGGACTAAAGTTTTAAGAATGAGATAACACATCTTGCTGAATAAAAACCATTAAGCTTAAACCTTGCCTCTCTTTGACAAGAAGAATCACCAGTTCACTGGAGATCTTAGACAGACTGTGCACTGGAGCCAAGTTGGACCAGTGTTTTCTTGACAAACACTGATTCACAACTTATCCTTGGATGGTATTTTTATGGGATGACTCTTTCCCTCGTGCTCCCGTGATGGTACCAGCAAAGAGCTGCAGCATCGTGATGCCAGGCTACAGTTGTGCAGTTCCTGCTTCTCCGCTGGCAAGAGCTTGCTGTAAGGCACCCAGGCTAAATACCAAGGAGGGATGTCACTATGCTGCATCACAGGCTAGGCCAAATTCTGCAAACAAAACCTTAAAATTAAAAAATCACTCAGGGCAATCAACTGGAGATGACTGCTCTGCTGACAGTCATCTCATTTGTGTACTTTCAAAGGCTGAGATTACTGCCCCTTAGTCCAGGGCTGTCTCATCTCTAGGCTGGCAGATATTAGTGCTGGGTCTCCACTTGTGCCTTGCCCTGACTAATTTAAAATATGGTGATCACTGACTCACAGAGCTCAGCCAGTTCACAGGTGAGTACTTTGGTACTGTGCAAGAGCAACACATCTCCTTCAAGATGTGTGATAGCCCTCCACTTCCTTGGAGTAATCCTTCCCAAAGATCCCTAAAATCAGTCACAGAAACAACCCTGTGCTTGGAAAATGCTAAGTGCCAGGTCTTCATACTCTTATCCAAGCTCTGAACAACCAGGATCCTCACCCAGATTGCTACACAGAACTGGAATATAGAATGATAGAATGGTTTAGGTGGGAAGGGACCTTACAGCTCACCCAGTTCCACCCCTGCCTTGGGCAGGGACACCTCCACTAGACCAGGTTACTCAGAGCCCCATCCAACCTTTCCTTGAACACTTCCAGGGATGGGGCAGCCACAGCTTCTCTGGGAAGCCTGTGCCAGTGTCAGACAGTGAGCCCAGAGCACACCCAAGGACAGGGTGTCCCCACCACAGGCTCCTGCCAGCAGCAGGGAGGGCTGTGAACATCCCACTCGAGGTTTCTGCTCACACTCACCCACAGAACAAGGGCAGGAACAAGGAAGTGCTCATCAGCCAAAAGGCAACACACTTACAACACATCTCAATTTTTAGCTCTTCTCAAGCACTCTCAATTAAGATGATGATACTTTAACAGCCATACTATTAACCTCTGAAATCTGCTATCCCTGCAAGAATGACTAAAAGCAGCAACCACAGTTATAAAAATGAGGATACAATTGCAAGGTTTGTTAGTGTTCAATGACAGGGCAAAACCTGATCATTAGCTGGGCCTCGGTGAAATTTCCATCTTTACCTCCCAGGATATCCCACTGCCCAGGTGCACCGCAGGCAGTACTGGAAAAACCAGAATTTAAAACCAGTCAGTATGACCCAGCAGCTCCAAGGAAATCCCAGCATAGATGTTAATGGCTCTAGGAAATAACAGGTTTGCCAGCATCATGAAATCTTGACTTGAGAACACTGCAAATTACTACAGCCACACACTATGATTGTTGGTTTTAAATCTGTTGCTGATCTCCAAATGAAGGACACAATTCTGATTAAATGTCAAGCCCTTGATGGTCGGTTTTGATTTCAACTTTCTGCTGTTGTGAAAATCTAATTCTAAAGCTGAGGAAAAATACTTTATCTTAAAGTATTGATTTTCTTTGTCAGGCAACCAAATTAAAGTGAAAATCAGCTGCTTTCAAATTTAATTGTAGGGGTTTCCCTCTCCTTTGAAAGATAGACAAGCACTGCTGAAGGCAAAGAGCATGATAAGATGTGCCCATGGCCTGTTCAGTCTGGCATTTCATCTACACTTAATAACAATAATTTTACCCTGCATAACAGAAGACACATATTTAATGCATTTAATATGGAAACACTGTTACAACCCAACTCTTTGGGCCTCTAATGCTGCAAAATAAAGGTCACTCAAGACCAAAGTAAAGTGCAATCAACTGAGGAAAGGGGTTAAATATTAAAAACTCGAACAAAAAGTAGCCAGGGAGCATCTGGCAAAAAGGGCACAACCTGTGGCACTGCCAGCCTGGCCACAAACCAACTCCCCAGGCCATGGTTACCAGCTCACATAAAAACTGATCATAAAATACCCACAAGTGCTGGTGAGTGCACATTAGCATATTAGAGGCAGTAACATGTGAGTGATTTGAAAATTACACTTCTGAATATATTTACAGCATTTAATATTCCCCCTGCTGTACATACTGTCCTGTCAATAACCAAGTGCATCTGAAAATTAAAAATGAAGAAATAAACGTCAAATGTTGTGATCAACAAACCTGAAAGACCTTCAGTCCTGCCTGCACTGACAAGCAAAAGGGGCAACATCAGTTCCATAATGTGCAAATAATTGTGGGCAAGCTTGGAATCATGTCTAGCTTTATCTTAATGGATTCTAATCATATTTTGAGGGATCTGGATGGGACATAATTACAAATATGAAAGCCTGGAACAAAACCCCTGAATTTCACATTGTAATTAAAGTTGCTCATATACAGTCAAAGTGTATTTAAACAAGAAAACATAAAGAACTATTTTAAAGTCCCACAGCATTGTATTATTTGAGCTTCCATTTACAGCTTTACAAAAAAACCCTAACAAAACAACTTACAAATACTGCAAATACATTAAGTAACCTCTGAGGTTACAGACACAGCAGTGAGAACATAGGAAATGCCAGGCTGAGTGATGTCTGGACAAACTTACTCTGGCCCTTCTGCAGACCTGATACCAACTTTTATTGGGCATTAAAGAATTCTTGTGTTTATAGCTCTGTGCTCACTTGCTGGGGAAGCCTGGAAGGAGTCTGATGAATGCAGCAGATAGTTTACAACAAATATGTTGTGGAAGACCAACTTCAGCTGGGAGTCTGTGGCACAGTCACGTAGCCACACATCAGTTCACCTCAGCAAGACTGAGTGATACACATGAGGAAGTGGGCACTTAAAAGGGGAAACTTTCCTCAGTTTTATACTACACTGTCATGCCAACCACTAAAATTAATTTCCTTTAATAACACTGACCACTGTTTGGACAGAGCCTGCCCAGGTGGAGAGACAGTTTCTGGATAGTGGGGGGCCATCGTTTTTCTTGGGCACAAAGGAGGTTACTCTGTGCTGGAAGGGAGCTGCTGACAGAAATGTCTCTTCCCTTCAGAACCACAGTTAAATGCCCTTCCAGGAAGGGAGGAACAGAAAACAGATCTTCAGCCACCTTACCAAAGCTGTGGAAAAGAGTGTGATGAGAAAGAGAAAACAGGAATACACAGCTCTCCAAATATAGCAGGAGCTAACGTGACAGTGGGAGAGTCAGCACTGGAAGGTTCTTCATTTCTATCTACGGGAGATTAAGACATCAGTAGTACTGTACTTCAGAGCAGGTTGTGGAGATAGCAGCTTCCCTCAAACACACAATTACTTCATTACAAAGAGTGGAAGGGCTTAGTTCTATTTTAGGGTGGCTTAATATAAAACACTTGTGATCCATGGAAGGAGAGATGACAGAAATATATCTGTGTCAGATGACTCTAGCTACTCTCGTGGCCAAAATCTCTTATGTAAAATGGAACTCAATTGCACTGAATCCCTTGTTACAAAGCTGTTACACAGACAGTCCCTATAGAAAGTGTCTCTCTGTCATTTCCCTGGCATTTAGCAATAAAGTAAAATAAACTACTTCATCTACACCAAGATATTTGGGCTGAGTCTGATTGTACTGAAGGAGTGGTATCACCTGGGTCATGAGACACAACAAGTGCCCTGGAGAAATCACTGCCACTCAAGACACATCCTGAGAGAACCAGCTGGCTGGTTTCAGACTTGTTCAAACCCAAAGCTACAGCATTAACCATTCCTGAGTCAGAACCAAAGCCTGGTTCTGACTGAGAACTGCGCTCCAGCCTCTCACTTCAAGCACTTTAAAACAGGCAGAACCTCACCTGCTCGTGGTACCTGACATGGGTTATGCAAACAAAAAAGAAATCAAAAGTGACTCACCTGGTATTTTGGGCATTGTTCTTTTGGATCAGAGAACGAGGAGGATGAATTGATTGAGCTATCCAAGGAAGAAGAGCTGTCTCCTCCAGGCTTCAGTTGGCAGCATTTCCCAAACACTCTCACCTGAGCATCACTGCAGAGTTTCTGAAATAAAGACAATACATGTGACACACTAAGATCCACGACCTGAAATCACTGCTAGCAGCATTGTACTTACCTGTTTAGGTAAGATATTTGACAGCTGAAAGGCTTATGCCCCAGAAAAACAGGTAAGAGAATACACATCTGTGCCTATTGCAGCCTGGCTGTACAAAGGAAAGCTGAGCTCCTTTAATTCCAATTAGCCCGGAGAAAACAGGTCGTTCCAACTCTATTTTCCTGAGTAGCCATCCATCTCTGAAGCTTTACAAATCACATTTTTAGACCCAGGATTAGGAGAGAGGATGGCAGCAAAGCATTTCCAGCTGTCTTCACCCTGCTCCCCGTGCCTGTCAGGGCAGAGGTGACACAGCAGTGATGGGCACACAGAGAAGGAGCAGTTCACCATAAATAATCAAGTAAGAGTAACACTGAATTCAGGAGATTCATATTACAGGGATAAGTGGAGAGAAAAGATCCTGGTTTCTACAGATCTCTCCCTAGCTGTGTATAAGCCCCTTAGCCTTTTTAAAGAGTGGCACAGAGGTGACACATTCCTCATGTTTTCAGTACGAGGGAATTGTGAGGCTGAAAATGAACAAAGCTGAAAAAGTTAGTGTTACAGTGATACCTAAAGATTTTTAGGGTTTTTGTAGATAGTAATATAGCTGTATAGTTTTCTTTCACTTTAGACAGTTACTGAAGTGTTTTCTCCTGGTTTGTGCTACTTTCCAATGAATTTCTGTTTAACAATTTTTACAAGAGATTTTAGTAAGGACATCCTGTTTGGGATGTGCACCTGGACCAGAATAATAAGATATACTGTAGTCAAATAAGATAGAAGGCCCAGAACCCTTGGAGGGGCTGAGGGTGGTACCAGGGGCAAAATGGTTTTTGGATGTACCCACTAGACATGGAAATTAGTTAAAGTTATAGAAGTGTGAGAATTCTGTGTGTGTGTGTGTGTGCCTATGTACTCCCTGCACCTGACAGCCTTCATTAAAAACTGCTCTCTGCCTTCCCTGTACTTATATTGTCTGGAGAATTTTTTTCTTCCATTTTAGGCATCAATAGAGAAGTCAAAAAAGTTTCACAAAATGATGAAGAATCAATCCACAGGGTGAATTCTGATGGAGATTCAGACAAAGCACAGCAGAAGAGGGAGTTTGGAGGGCCCAGATGGAGCTGATGTACAGGATGGGCAGGATCTGCATCCACTCCCCACATGCAGTATCATCAATCACTGGCACAGGAGGTGCTCCACTACTGTTTCATTCACAATTTAAACACATTTGTGATTTCCCTTGTGAATCTCAGCAGCCCAAGCAGAATCAGCATCCACATAAGTTAATGGTGTTTATACCAGCACTGGCATTGCCAACCCTCTTCACCTAAAGATCTCAATGTATTTTTCACACACTCGTTACACTTCAGCACACCCACGTAAGGTTGCCATTATTTACATCTGCTGGTGGGCAGCACTAGGAGACAGAAATAGCCTACACTGCTCAGAATTCCATACCAACTCTGCCCTGAGACTTCCTCAATTAACATTTCCTACACAATCAGCAAACCAGTAAGAGCAAGCTGCAAGTAAATCCTGCTGGAAGCAAGGTTCAAGGGACAGATGGAAACCCAGAGCTGCTGTTTTATGTCACAGCTTCACCTCTGGACTCACCTTTCATCACCTCTCCTTTCATCCAAAAACATTAATATGCCTCAATCCTTAATAGCTATGTAAAAAAGGAAAATGCATAAAGAAAAGTGTGAAATAACCAAAGCACAGGGTGGTAATTCCATGACTCTGCTCAATAATCAGGAACAACTGTACAAAAAGATGACTGGCTTTACTGCTGTGGATGGATTTTGAGGAGGGACATGGTGGGAATTCCATGTCTCTGTCCTAGGTTGTCCAGGTTACTTTTTTAGGGAGAGGTGACTGCCATTTGTCCCTAATTGTGGGTGAGATTTAGCAAAGCAGCAGAAAATGTCCAGGATTACTGAGCTCCACGTGGCAGCCTGCACTGCTGCTCCCTCAGAGAGCTGCTGCCACAGAAAGCCTCAAGGAAAAATGTGCAGAGAAATCAGTAATTCCGTGGCAGAGGGAGGGGAGCGTTCCCTGCCCAGCCAGCCCTGTGCTCTGTGACACATTGTAATATCCTCTCCTTACAACATCCCGGGGAGCAGCTGAATTCCTGCAGTACGTGGATTTGCTAATGGCTGCTGAGGATCTGTGGCTTGAGCACAGTGCACAATGGCTGGAACATGTGAATGATCATCATATGACTTCAGTAGGAACTCGTGAACTAGAATTGCATTTTATCTCTGACACAAACAACAATGTCCTAGGCTAGGCAAGCATCATGTGATAAAACCACATACAATCCACAGGGTTACAGCAGCTTTTGCAGGCAAACCACATTTCAGCTTGCATTTTCCATCAGATGTTGAAAGTTCCTTCTAAAAAGTTACAATTAGAACTAAGCTTCCTTGAGAATGAAGAAATGCATTTACTGGCTTTACAAGAGAATAAAGATCCTCTGCATTAAAAAAGAATAGGGTAACTTTGCAAATTAATTACTTTAAAATCATTTATTCTCATTGTCACTGCATTTTTCTGCACAGCAGCTTTCCCCAGATCCACTGGGGAGTCTGGTAACTTGAAGTAACAGTGGCCTAATTTAAATAGCAAACCAGGAAAATGGCTGTTTGGTCTTTGCAGTGGAGTTTAATGAAACAAAACTACTGCAAGGAGTCTTTAAAGGAGGTCAGGGTCTTTCAGCCACCACTTTTCAGAACCTTGTGAACAGTAAATCCCTCCTAAAATGCAGATCATGGATGAATTTTGGTGTTTGCTCTCTTACAAACTTAGCATATGCTCAAGAAGAACTTGTTGGACAATGAGATCAAGTACCTGCAGTGACTCTCTCCTCTGCAATTTCTGACTCCAAATGCCAATGAAATTTTAGATGCTACAAATCTCAAGATATTATGCATCAAAGGAGTGGGATTACTTGCATTCCAGTATAATAGTCCAAAGATATTCAAGCCGGGTTTCCAAAAATACAAAGGTAACCTAATTATTTAAGAACTGTACGAGGGAAAGTTTCAAAGTTGTGAATTTTCTTTCCAATTAGATATGGTTGTATCAAATCAGCTCCCCAGGCAAGGTGCTGCCAGAGTGCTCTGGAATGCCCTGTTTTGCTGGAGAGCAGAACATCTGCTGGAAGGATGCCGTGGATCCTGGCTGCCACTCTGCTCTCCCTGCTGGGGCCACACTCTTTGTTCTCTCTCTGCCAGCTCACTGCAGATACCACCCAGCTCCAAAGAGCTCTGGCAGTCCCAGTTCTTACATTAGAGGTCATGGGTTGCTGAAAGTCTTGGAGACCTATCAGGTAGTTCTGAAGATAAATGTAAAATGTCTCTGTAGTATGATGGGGTACAAAGGAGTTTTCTTCCTCAGTTCTTCTTCTGGAGTCTCTTTTCTCCACATCTGTCAGCAAAGACCTTTGACTCTTTGCTACAAGGTCAATAATCTCCTCAATAAGTGGAAAAAACATGCCCAGTGCTGAATTTCTGCTGGGCAGGTTCTGGTTTGGGGATAATAAGAAAGTTGAAAGGAGCCTGGTGTGTTGAACTAAATCAGACTGTGTGTAGGTGTGTTAGGGCTGTGAGTGACAGGAGGAAAGAGAAATGTCATCCTATGCTTTATTCTTTTCTACCTCTCTGAACAGCAGGTGCTCAAATACCACTGTGGTGGCAGTGATAGAGAAATCTCTGTTTCCAAGCAAAGTCGCTACTCTTCAAGAGCTCTGTACCTCGTTTCCAGAACAGGTTTTCCAGCAAAGCTGAAAAATTATTCCAAAACAGATAAATTAAGTCTTCTGCTTTATTAATATCTGTTAGTCTGAATGTGCAATTAAATGTATGCATCCACCTAGGACATGGGAGTAACCTGAACAGGCATTCATCTCTCCCCTTCAGTGCTGCTGTAAAAATCCAGGTATCTTTCTTAAAATGCAGCTGTCAGTGCTGCAATCTCCCTTTACTTCCAGAGTTGTCAAGTTCCTCTATTACTCAGAGGTCACTGAAAAAAGTCAAGACAACCCCGTGCTCCCCCACTCCACTAGTATTTTTCCATTTCTGTTTAGGGAGAATAAGCAGAGCTAAGAAGGTGGGACTTGATCTCTGTGCTTACAGCTTTATCCATCTGCTCAGCCTGGCTCAGTGGAAACCTGCCCTGAGAGCCAGACAGAGTCCAGAGTCTCCATTTCACACAACTCACCTAAAAGCAAAAGGCTCACTATCCAATTACTAATCCTTCAAAGCAATTTGCTGTTCAACATTTATCCAGTGTTGAAGTATATTGGAACACGTGGCTAATCCTGGCTTGTTTCAACCAGCATGCCACTTCTCTACTTTGGGATAAATATGACATTTGGAGTAAAAGAAATTGCCGCTGTAGGAGATCAAATATCATGTGACCTTTCACTGAAATTATCCTGAATATAAAGACAACTAGGTTACATGGAAAAAGTGAACTTTCCACTCCCCAAACCCAAGTTCATTACTGCACCTCTAGATCTCAAATTCCGCATCCCAGGTCACGCTTTCTCTTTCATTTCTTCAAAAAACCAAAACAAACGCTGCTCCTGAAAATCCCCTTCTGCCTCGGGGTCCTGGCAACAAGTCACTGCCCTTCTCTGATTCCTTGTCTTTCCCTCTTTCCTGCCACACACCCAAAGTCTAGAGCCCTGCTCAGCACTGTGCAGTTTGGCTCTTCCTTTCCTTCCTCTTCCTCATGGTCCCTTGACACCCCTCCTTCCCCCCTGGACTTCACACCTTCTTCTAGGCTGATCTTTAAGCTCAGGAAATCTTTTAGCTCCCACATGTCCATCAGCACCTCTCTTCAGCCAGACCCCAAATGGTAACCACGGGGTCATAAATCCCCAGTGGACAACACACAAAGGAAAACAGTAAAACGAGACAATTAATCCTTGACCCTGAACTCTCCCTCTCTGCTCCAAGGGACACTGTGACACAAGGTTCCTCTTCCCAGCTTCTACTTTACTTTACTCCCCGCTGCTTCCTCGTGGCACCATTTCCATGGCATCCTTATCCCAGTCAACTGGCGGCCCTTGGAGGCAAACTCCTCGTCCTTCAGCTGGCCTGCCCACAGGGGCATTTATGGGGACACAACTCAGCACCACACAGCACAGCAGTGCCAGCCCCAGCGCCAGGGGAGCG